AGCTCTGTTGAATATTATTCTCCTCTGCACTCTGGAAGAAGTTTATCCAGTGGGTTTGAGAAAACCCAGATCTGGGTTTTTCTCAAAAATGTGTGTTTTCTCCACTGCAAATACCAGCATCCTAGCATTTGCAGGAAGTTAATCCATTAGATTTCTCAAACCCGAATCTGGATTTGATTTCGAAAGGAAGAAGAAGGAAGAAGAGCACCCTAATTCGTTTTTGATTTGTAGATCTGGTTCAGATCTAAGGTTTCTTCGAGGTTTTCTTTTTGTTTTTGGGTTGATTTGTTCATTTGGGGTGGGGTAGTCTAAAATTCTGCAAATCATGTCAATGGCTTTAGTTTTTCTATGATCCTCATGCTTCGTGTTCGTATTATGCATTCTTTCTCGGTTGTGTTTCTATACTGGTTCTATATGTTTTCTCGTGAACTAATCCTCTAAGTTCATCTCGATTTAATTTAACCCTCGTTTTGCGACATCACTTGGGGCACTAGTGGCTCCACTGCCAACCTCACTGTTGATATTGCTAACAAGGTGCAGAACATCATCTGCGTTGAGATCAAGATGCATCTGAGTGCAATGTTTGAGAAAAACCTAGATCTGAGTTTGAGAAAGGAAGAAGGGAGAAGAGAGAGAGAAAGAATACGAAGAAGAAAGAAGAAGGATGAGAAGGGAAAAGAAGGAGGAAGGTTGATAGAGAATGAGGAGGCAAACTATCGAAAGAGGAGGAAGAAGATGAAGCTTGAGAGAGAAAACCCATATCTGTATTTGCAAAGGTAAGGGAAAAGGAAAGGTAAAGGAAAGAGAAAGTGGAAGTGGAAGAACGGATCATTTTTTTTTTTTTTTTTGATGTGGATGAAAAAAATATATATCATTTTTAAATAAAATAAATATGCCAACTCATAAAAAAAAAAAAGTGGCCAACTATGTTTCTTTTTTTCCATGTCCTTAGTTAAGAAAAATAAAATTGATTTGCTGACAAGATAACATGTCGCTTGTCTATTTAACTGATGGAAGAATCATTTTGGTAAAAAAATAAAAGTTTAAGAATAATTTTGATATTTTATAAAATTAAAGGACAATTTTGTGTCAAAGTGAAAAGTTGAGGGACTAAAATGGTATTTAAACCATTGTAATATGCAAGAAATGTTATAGATAATGATATAATTTTTTTTATTTAATAATATAAATTTTATTAATTTTTAAATAAGATATTAATTTTTTAATTTTTCTTAAATATGTTAATTTTATATTTTTATTTAAATATTAATTGAAGGATTAAATAAGCTATTTGCAATGTTACGTAATTAATCTATAAATAAAAAAATAAAAAAATGATATTTTTAAATAAAAAACTTAAATCTAACATTTTTTAATTAAAAATTAAAAATTTATTATCTTATTTAAAAATTAATAAAAACTGTATTTTTAAATAAAAAAAATAACATAATTCGTATCATTATGTGTAAATTTTCTCCATACCATACCGAAAACAAATATCTAAGATTAAACTACCCGAGTTCTATTGCAGCAATTCTTTAGTGGACATTTGGAGCTCAAGTTGCTCTTAGGTTTGGCTCGAATTTGATTCTATACTTCGGCTTGACTTGAAGTCGCCACAAAGTTTGTTCATTATACTTCTCAATTATGGAGACGTTCTGTTTGGAATCAGAACCATGTAACATGACTTATATAATTTATGAATGATATGTAACTGTGGCACCTTGCCACCTTGTTTGGTAAAAGAATTTGTTTCTTATTTTATTATTTTGTTGAGTTTAATTATTTTGAGAAGGTTGTTAAAAGATAATTTTTCCTTTTTTACTTGGACAAAATATTATGTTAAGCTCATAAATTTATTTTAGATTCTTAATTAAATACTTAAATTTTTATTGAAATAAATAGCTTTCTTGAGAATTTAAGTAATTTAACCTTTTTTTTTTTGACAAACTTAACACTTATTTGTGCATCACTTGTATGAATAAAATATTAATATGTTCGTAATAAGTATTAATTTTATCCATATAAGTAAGATATAATCGTACATTAAATTTGCTATAAGGAAGAGGGTTATATTGCCCAAATCGACAAATTTATAGGTTTATTTACTTCAATAAAAATTTAAAAACTTAATAAAAAATACGAGATAAGTTTCGTAGCTTAACATTAGGTTTTGCCTCTTACTTATTGATAAAATTCAATTATAAGGTCCTCTAATTGTGGTTAAAATGCGACAATTTAGCATGTATATCAACACAATATTTACATCTAATTTAAAATTAATTAATTATACATAAAACAATTTTTTTTATTTAAATTACATATTATTTATTATATTTTTGATGTAAAATTTTCTAATTCAACATAAATTGTAGTATAAGTAATTTTACACCTTGGTTTGAGTGAAATAAATGTTCTTACCCCCCCCCCCATTTCCTCGGGAAAAGGAAAACTGATTTGGAACAGAACCAGGAATTACAGAACTTCAGTTTCGTTCGGCTTTTGTCTTTTCGGCCCGCAGGTTCGGCCTGGTTTGAATTCTTTCGGTAATTTTTATTGCCCAACTGTTATGCCTTTGTTTGGGCTCTCAGCTCAAAATCACCCAAATGGGCTTCGAGCCTTTTTCCCTTTTTTTTTTTAATATAAAAAGCGGTATTTTTCTTTCCGCTCAAGTCTCAACTCTCAAATCAAGTCTACGAACTTCTAAGAATTTCTTTTCGATCCTTTTGTTCATCCCGCGCCATACT